CACAGAGATCCGGACCTTTCTCAACAGCTCAGCATAGGATGGACTCGGCAAAGCCATTTGCTGTTCAATTGATTCTCCACTCCCAATACCTCCTTAAAAGCTTTGCCCCCTCTCCCCCGGGTTCCCACCACTCCCTTCTGAACAGCGTCCTCCATACAGTCTCACCCCATGTAATTGCTTCTCAGCACTGCATAAGAATGCTCTTTCTTAAAAATAACCTTAAAGTTCATCAGAGACTCTTCAACCTGTTGCCTTCTGCAGAGAGCTCAACTCCTGCACAGCATGGTCTGCCCTGCTGACCTCCCCTGCCCCGTCCTTGGTCTCTGGTGCCCTTCATCCATCCAACCCACCTCGCGCTTTGTCTCCTGCCGCATCTTCAGTTTCCCCCGGGGGCTGTGCACTCCCACAGGCCTGGAGTACCCCCTCCACCAACGTGGGACTGAGTCGACATCAGATAGCCTTTCTGATTGGCACTTGGCAAGCCCTGCCCCATGCCAGCCTTTGCAGCCCCTGCCTTCAGTGCACACCTACCTTGACGCTCTGCTACCACACCCCATGCTGATCTCTATCCCAGAGTGCTTAGGACTCAGAGGACGTCTGTTTCTCCCACCAGAGTGTGAGAACCGGAAAGGCAGAACTGTAACTCTTTTCTTTACATTCCCATCTCGTAGCCCAGTATTTACAACCTAAGACATACTTCCTATATGTTTGTTGGATTTTCTTATTTAAGAGAATAAACATGTAAATGAGTTGGAAGATGCCACGAGAAGGCCAAGGTAATAGATGCAGTTCACACAGGCTGATCTGGTCACCTTGCCCCATCCATGGTCTCTGGCTGCTCCCAAGAGTCTAGCGAACTACTTGATAAATGTGGGTCATTAATTTTAACATGAGGGGACCAGGTGAGAGTCAACCGCAAACTCACTTCTAGAGAAAAAAATCAAAGTGCTGGTCGACGAGGTCACTTCGCTGCTGGTGAAAAGGAATAACAATTTGATGGAGAACTGGTGAGCCACACACTTCGTTCTGCATTTACAGAGAAACCTGTTGAGGCTGCTCTAGGGGAAGACACTGATGTCACAGCTTCAGTCCTGAACAGGAGGCCAGAAGAGCGGGCAGCGGCAGGTGCTGTCCCCAGCTATTCAATCTGACCATCTTAAAGCCTGCACCAAAGACACAAAAGGAGTAAAGTCAGGGACAGAGAGCTTCCTCTTCCTCTTCCACTCCCGCTGCCGGGGGGCCACCTGATTGCACTGTGCGTCACGTAGATGGTGGCTTCCACTCAGCATTCAGCCCAGTCTGCTGCCCAACGCAAACCAATTTCTGAGCAATTCTTCGGGCAAGTGCCCTGGTCCTGTTGATCTCACAATTGCATCTGGAAACACTTAACCATGAGACATGTCAGCGGACTGGCCGCTTGGTGCTGCTTCCTCTCAACTTGGTCATCGCCACAGCCTGTGCTAAAAATAAAAAAACAAATTTCTTTGTCAGGCCAGGCTCAAGTTATTGCGCCAAAGGGAAGAAGTCTCCCAGATCCACTCTTGGTACTAAAATTTCTACCTTTAGAAAAATTACCGGGATAATGTATGTGAGGTTAAAGGTGAATTTCTAATGTTGCTCAATGGAGTGGCATCCAGAGAGCCAGGAATGATGGAAATCGGCCCTGACAGTCTCCTAAAATGGATGAAGGCCCAGCAACATGCTCATGGAACCAGGGAATTATTATGTTCTCAATTATTAGCTGACCAAAGGTCCAGCGACCCTGAGCAGAAAGAAGGGGTAGGATCCAGGACATGAGGATCAAACACAAGGCTAACCAGAGCCTCTGGTCCCCTGTCCTTCCCACCATATCCAGTCTAGATCTTGGGACCAGCAGCCCACTCGGGGCACATCCACCTGGGAACGAGAATGGGAAGGAAAGGGTGAGAGGCAAAGAGGACCCCTTCCATTATCTACCAGATCTAGGCAGGGAGACAGGTCCCAGGCACCCTGTGTGTTTACCAACTCCACCTCTTGGCCTCTCCGAGGAGAAGAAGAAAAAGGACAACCTAAATAGTGGATTTCAAACCCAGCTTGTCTTCAGGCTCATCAAGGAGCTTTGGAAAGACACTGATTCGGGACCTAGCCCTTGACATGCTGCTTTAGTAGATCTGTAATGGAACACAAAATCTGAATTTTAATGAAGTTCTCAATTTGAGAAACCACTGATGAAGTTTCTCTTATCCGGTGAAAAGGAATAACAATTTTATCAAAGACTGGTGAGTACAAAGCAAGACATGGGCAGTGTGGAAGGCTGGATGGGGCTGGAGAGATGGTTTTGTAGACAGCTGTGTCTCCCCAAGTTCCCAGGATGTGGAAACCCCAGGTTGCTGCTCCTGACAGTTTGTAAAAGCAAAACATTTTTTGATTGTCTTTCTACTATTGCCACAGACTAAATCACAGTAAATTGAACCTATAAACAAACAAATGGCCTTGTAATTTGTCCAGGGTAAGGCAAGTGCACCCAGCAGCTAAGCATCAGTCTCACGTGCATTTGGTAAGTGCCTCCACCAACCACTTAACACAGGGGTCTCAGAAGAAAGAAAGCACAGTCTATGCTTCCTCTCCAGAGGCACAATCTGGAGCCCTTTTCCCATCCAAAGTTTGTCATTCCTTGGACACTTTTATCTGGGGACCAGCTCCCTCAGGGCATATACCTACGGGCAAAGAGATTTTATTCTTCTTTCAAACTTGAAAAAACCTAATCCAAAGAGGCATGGTGGCACACACCTGTAAACACAGTGACTCAGGAAGCTGAAGCAGGAGGATCACAAGTTCAAAGCCAGCCTCAGCAACCTAACAAGTTCCTAAACAACTTACTGAGACCTTGTCTCAAAATGAAAAATAAAAAGGGCTGGAGATGTGGCTCAGTGGTAAAGCACCTCCAGGTTAAATTAGAAGAAGAAGGAGGAGGAGGAGGAGGAGGAGGAGGAGGAGGAGGAGGAGGAGATTTAATGATGAAACCGTCCTTCATGGGAAAGGACTATTATTGCATAAGGCAGGTGTAAGGGGAAGGCCAAGAATATTGTGTGTTGATCTTCTAAAATGAGAAATTCCGTCAGTGAGTTATAAGGGGCGAGAGGAAGGCAGACGTGCCAGTTGCTGCAGAGACCAGGTCAAGAACAGCCTGAAAGCCTAAAAGCAATAGCAGTGCTCCCAAGGCAAGAGGGAGAGGGGACAGCAGCCACTTGCAACTGTCCCCTGCAGTGGAACTGTAGCCTTGAGAAATGGGTGGGATCAAGAACTTCTGAGACCTGACACACCAGAGACGAACACTAACAGGTTTCCTGCAGCTATTAAGGAAATCAGTTTTAAGGAGTAAAGATTTAATTTGAGCATAGAACCTTTTGAGGCAGCTTTAAACTTTGAGGTTTTATATGATTGTGAACCCTCTGCTGCGTGGAGAGATGTTGAGCTCCTGCCAATTACAGCATCCGCTCTACTTCCCGTTTTAGTAGCATCCAAAGAGTGCTCTACTTGGGGTCTGAAAACTTGCGTTCGAGTGGCCTGAGTAAGCCATGCGATCCTTTGGAGCACACTTTCCTTGTCTGTAAAGTGAGCCTCTCAATTTTACTCCTCTGCCTTCCTCTCCAGTTTCTCACAAGAACGAAATGGAAATTTGAAAAGCACATGCTAAACTTATAGAAACGGAGTGCTGTTCCCTGGTGTGGCCACACCTGAAGTAGGTAGTGGGGATGCCCTGAACAGTGCTGTGACAGTGTCCACACTGCTGGACAGTAACCTGCAGCCAGTCCTTGTGCTGAGTGTGAGTGCATCTCCAGAGGGGCCTTGATGCAGGCCACCAAACTTCAGCAGTCTTCCTAATGATCTTCCTGATAATCTCAGATGGGGCTTTAGATGACAGAGATTTGGGTGAGGTTGCTATGTCACCTTCCTTCTGAGACATGCTGTCTATTACCTACCATCTAACTTTCCAGGTGGTAGGATGTCACACCTGTGCTGTACTAGTTCTACCACTAGGAGGCACTGTAGTAACTGACCTGTGAAGCCCTCCCCAGCCTCTCCAGGGCTGCTACAGTTCGAGAAAGCCCATCACTAGCCCAGAAGATCACTGTATTTACAGAGCACCCAAACCACCCTTCCTGGCACGGCTAGCTGTGTCTTTAACTTGCTCTGTCAGCCCCTGCAACCCAGAAGGCTCCTCCAGTGGGCTTCTTGATTTGCCAGCTAAGCACTAAAATTTGTTCCGAAGCTAAACTCTCTAAGACACATGATTTAAGCTTCTCTTTCAGCTAATTAGATATTGTTCTACAAATTGGGCTGTTCTCTCTGAAAGATGAGCTGCAATTTACTTTCCCTGCCCTCTCCTTAAACTTAAACTGAACTGTAAAACATGGCCGTTTGCTTGTTTAGTACAATCAGGAGATTATTTTGTGCAAGGAATAGATATCCATCTTCTTGCTAATGCTGAGCTTGTTTGGGCATTCCTTAATGGCTGCTATGAAAATGACGGAAGCTTTGCTTAGATCCCTTTTGCCCTTTTGAAAGGTGGACCCCATGGTGATTTATTGGCGCTCGTGCATCTGCGATAATCTCCTGAGTAACCGATCACAAACAACTGCATTAACACGTCTTCACTCCACAAGGGGGGGAGATCTTCACTGCCCCCATTTTACTGATGAAGAATTTGATCTCAAGGAAGTCAGGCCATTTGCCGACATCCAAACAGCTAGGTATATAGAGAAGCCAGACAGTGAAGCCAACACTTTCATCCTCAGATCCCTTAAATCTATTGTCAGAAGAATCCAGTGTCAGGTGAAGAAGAGGAAGGCAAAATGATGTGGAGCTCGGTGTCCACACGGCTCAAATCCACTGCAGATTTCTTACAGCTCTGGATAAACTTCCAACCCTGAGGTCCTTTGAAACCTTCTGGGGCCTGGGGCTCTTGGACACAGTGGGAGAAAGGATCTTTTCTGGGAATCGCCTCTTTTATTGTGCAGGGGGGCGAGTATTCTCTCACCCTCAAGACTGTGCCCAACATCTGATGAACGGAGACGCTCTGAGCGGAGTGTACACCATCTTCCTCAATGGGGAGCTGAGCCAGAAGTTGCCGGTGTACTGCGACATGACCACAGACGGCGGTGGCTGGATCGTAAGTACACACAGCTGCTCTCCTTGCATGCAGATGTCCTTGGTGTCACAATCTGCCTAGCTCAGCCTCTGTTGGCCCAGCGTCACTATCCATCTGGCCATCCTTTCACCCACACCTCCGTGTTGTGTTCAGTAGCCCAGTGGGAGATTTAGCCAGGCAGAGATGAGGATCAGCATATCCAGGCTGCAGTGACGTGGCCTGAGGAAGGGCCAGGATGACTGCCTTCCCTCCTGTCCCTTCTGCAAGGAGAGCGCATGCAGGAGGGTGCTGGGGAGAGGGGTCGTGGCCAGAGCCCAGGAACCTGCCTGCAGGGGGGCTGCAGCTGTAATAAAGCACGAAGGAGGATCCCCTCTGTGTAAGAGGAGCCTCCCTGGCCAGGCAGTGAGGTCCCTTCTCTCGGAGGGTCGCACTGGGGGGTGGGGGCAAATGAGGGACAGAACTGGAATGGCCACCTCCAAGGACCTTCCCTGTCCTCCTCCTTCTCCGGAGGCTGATTCTCTCCCAGAATCCCTCAGGGAGCACCACTTACTGTCACGGCCCCCTCCGATGTCTAACAGGCCGGTACAGAGCTGAAGGAAAGGGGGGGCCTCCCTCATGGCCACCTCTCCAAACAGGCCACCGTGCAGATGGAGCAGTAGCTGCCTGGTGCAAGATGGAAATGGCCTCCCCTCCACCCTCTGCGCCTCCCTCACCAGCACTGCTGACGCACAGTGCCAGATCCTCAGGGCGCAAAATGGGTGGTTTTGGAATAGAGTGAAATGGTGACTATGCTCCTAACAGCCACTCTCGGGAGGCATTTTCTTTTATGTTTCTGACATATCTGTGCCTCCTTCTTAAAGCATAATTGGAAATTGAAGCCGAGGCTGATGTATTGGAGGTTAAATGAAATTAGCACTTAAACAGCCCAGGATGTGAATGATATGCAGTTGCTTTGGCTGCAATAAGACGATGACAGTTACCAGATGATTTGAAGCTGCTTCTGTTCCTGTGGAGAGAAATGCTTTCTACCACACTCTGTGATACAAAAGATTAATTTGAGAGTCAGACCTATTTCCCCTGACTATTTGGGAGCTTGATAAGTGTCCTGAATCCTTTCTACATGGTAAGGGGTGCAAATTGGCATCAATGTCACCTCACAGCCTAGTCACCAGGGGCCTCTGTGCTGCAAGGAAGTGTTGTGAGCATTTCTTCCAAAAGCTGCAGTGTGGATCCTGAGCTCTGTTCTGAAACCTTCCTTATCTGGGCATCTTCGCCATTGCCCATACGGGACCCAGTTGCACCAATTTATTCAATTTTATTCGCAGTCCCTTTTCCTGATCATCTCCCCCCTCTCGCGTTCCCCTTGATCTTCACAGGTATTCCAGAGGCGGCAGAATGGGCAAACTGATTTTTTCCGGAAGTGGGCGGACTACCGCGTGGGTTTCGGGAGCCTGGAGGACGAGTTTTGGCTAGGTAACGCCTGCTTCCCGCTTTTCCCTGGTGTGCTGCTCTGGCTTTTGGTGCAGCTCTCTCCTTTCTGCGTCCATCTGGAATCATCCGGATCCCGTGTCTGCTGAGCAGCTGACAGCTTGCGGATTGCTTTCAGAACCCCCTGCCCTGTTTGGCTGCACTATTGATCTGTTTTATCTTATTGTGGTGTTTTCCTCTTTGCTCCGTCTCTTCCCATCCTCATTAATAGTCTCTTATGCTGATGGGTCTCGACATAAGGCAGCTACAAAGGGAAGGAACTGCTAGGCAGGGGAAGGGGCACCGGGAGCAAGGGGTGGGCTGGCCAGGGAAATGAGGCGGGTCGCTCTGCTTGGTTCCTTGGAGCATGTCATTGCCTGACTGGGAAGGAGAAGGAAAAGATGAAAGTGCCATTAGAGGTGAGCCGCAGTTTCTTGGAGGTCTGACGCAACAGGAGGTTTAGATGGAGAGCTGGGCCAGCCTGAGAAGGTGCAGAAACACTGGAGCCAGGCAGGGGACCCAGTGTCTGTTCATGATGCCCACATCTCCCACCTGGTTAGATTTCCATAGCGACTGAGAAAGGCCGGCAGAGGAGAAGGCAGAGAATCAAGTTCCATATTGGTGGTCTCCTCTCTTCCTCCCCTGCGCCATCTCATCCAAGCCTCACCATCTGCCCCAGATGTCCAGGTAGCAGCCCCTGAACTCCCGGGCCTCCCCATTGCCCACAGAGCCTCCGAATGATCTTCCTCACTCCCATGTCTGAGCAAGGTCAAGCCCTCCGTGAACCCTTTACAGTGACTCCCCCTCACACCCAGAGGAGGGGCAAACAGCTCCCCCACAGAACAAGGCCTCTCCAACCACCCCTGCCTATCACACTGTGTTTCTGGCCAACTCCAAACTCCAGATTGCTCTCAGAACCACTGAGATGCCTCTGTAAGAACACTCTCAGCCACTTCTCCCCGCAGGCACTCGGGTGTCCAGCCACCTATATGCAAAGTCCAGCTAAGCACCCCTTCCTCCATAGGACCTGTCCTGACCATTTCCTCACCTGTCACCTGTGGAAGAACTGGCTCTCCTCTCTCTGTTGTGACCCAAATCACAACATCCCTATCCCTTTCTGCCCTCTTGACTGTACTGTATAAGCATTGCTCTGGGCTGGGCCCACCCCTGCACCCACCCCATACCCATCTTCCAATGCCATTGCCTGTAGCCATGCCTGGGGATAGTAGGTGCCCACAGTACAGACGTCAATCATCAGTGATAACCATTTAGCGAATATCAGATAGCTAAATCTGTGCTTGCCAATGTAGGTAATAAAAAAGGTAAAAACCATATAAACAAATTGAGAAAAAAGTCAAATAGGAAAATGTGCTTACCTTTTTGTGATATCAGAGATTGAACCCCTGGTACCCTACCACTGAGAAAAATCCCTAGCCCTTTTTATTTTTTGAGACAGGGCCACACCAAGTTGCTGAGGCTGGCCTCAAACTTGTGATCCTCCTGCCTCAGTCTCCAGAGTTGTTGGGATTACAGGTGTGCACCACTGCACCTGGCCAAAATACACAGACCTTGAAAGCATTTGCAAATACTTGGGAGGCAATCCTGATGCGCATGAATCAGTGTATCCATAAGCAGATAGGACTTACGTTTCCCAGGCCTAAGCCAAACCAGTTTCCTGGGTTTTTGTCAAATCTGTGAAATATATAAAGTATCAGGAACTCAAATTTTCTATGTATCACTTTTTTATTTGGTTAAATCTATTTGTTAAAAAAAAAACTTTACAGCGTTGCCAAAAAAGGAAATCTGGTTATCATGTGTTATAAGTAAAAGGAAACCTCAAAAATAAATGCAAAGAAAAGAAAGCAATACTGTTAACTGAGAGTTCCACCCAGGGACTTTGGGCCTGCTGTGGTTGCTGGTGGTGGTGTGAAAATGGAGATGGGAAAGTGTTGGGTGTTAAACCACAAAGTGCTAGAACCAAACTGGGACTGGGAATTGAGGCCAGGGTCAAGGTCAGGTTCAGGGTCAGGGCTCCTCCTTCAACTCTGAAGAAGGACTGAGAGAATTTGGAAATACCTTTCCCCTAAAGGTCAAGGTTATTTCATGCCTGTTTGAGTCAGCTTTTTTGCTGCTGTGGTTAAAGATGTGACCAGAACTATTTTAAGGGAGGAAACGTTTATTTGGGGACTGTGGGTCAGTGACTCAGCAAACACCAGTCAAAGAGCCTTCCACTTGCAATCCATGTAAAGCTTTAAATCCCAAACAGGATAAAGAAGCCAAAAGATGTGGGTGACCTTCAGTCAATCATTTCACCTCTCTGGACTTAAGCTTTCCCTTCCACAAAACAAAGAGGTCGGCTGGAGTAAGTTCTAATTCCCTCCACCGCTGCAATTCTTTGATTCTAAATCATGGCACACTCAGATAGCTATCAGATGTCCCAGCAAAGCAAGAAGAGCCCAGTTCAGTTCGCAGATAGAAATCAGAACTCGGAGGTCACCAGCAAGGCAGGGCAAGGCGTCAAATGTTCAGGCAGAGAGGTCAAAATCAGACCATCCTGGGGCAAGTGGACAAGAAAATATCTCTGAGAAGATATCACCATGTGGGACCTGGACTCCACCCAAGCTCTGGGTTTGCAGGGCTTTGCACCTTCCAAGAATACATGAGCCCGAGGTCTGGAGTACTTAGAGGCCAAGGAGATAGCATGTGTGTGTGTGTGGGGGGGGGGGGGGAACTGGCCAGGAGACCAGCAAAGAGACAGCCGTGCAAGATATAGCAGGTAGAGCAGAGAGAAGGGAACAGAGACAGAGAGCAAGACAGATGCTCCTGAACTTATGATGGGGGTTAAATCCAGATAAATTCATCATGAGTTGAAAATATTGTCCAGTGGGAAATGCATCTGCTCTACCCAACACCCCAGCTTAACGACACAGTACAGAGCAGAGCACATATCATTTCCCATTGGGATCAGCTGGTGGCAGCTGATCACTGTGGCCCAGCATCGAAAGAGAGAGAATACTCACAGCAGAGCACTAGAGACCCAAACCGAAAGCACAGTTTCCACTGGATGCATACAACGTTCACCCCACTGTAAAGTCAGGAGATGGTACGATGAGTCACTGTTAAGTCAGGTGCTACCTGTACTCCCTGACCTGGGTCTGGTGATCCCCAGAGGCCTGGAGGCAGACAGAGAAGGGCCAGTGTGATGAAAGATGGATAGAGCCCCGTCTGCAGACTACAGGACACATGAGGACGTTGGGACCCCTGGGACGCTCCAGAATTCCTCTGATGAGCGATGCTACCTCCTGCTTCCTGCCGCCCATGCCACAGGCTTCCCGCCCTGCGATGGCGCCTGTCCTTTTCTTTCCATACCATGACTTGGCATAGAAGAGGGCAAGGGACAGGCCAGGAGACCTGAGGCTTCGGGTGTGTCAGTTATGGGGTCAGCACTGGGGGTCAGCACCCTGTGCTGCCTGGTGGCCCTCGTCAGCAGCACTGGGCTGGCCTCTTTACAGGGAAAGTAATCCAGCGGGGACTATTGGATAACAGCTCGAGAAGCGCTGAGGGCAGAAGCAACCTGCATGCCCTTGTCTTCCCTGCACTGTCTGTGTCAGGGTCAAAGTCACATTTCCCTTCCACTTCCCAAGCTGCCTGAGGCCCGGCTCAGGGCACTGTCTGCTCTTCTGCACAGGGCTGGACAACATACACAGGATCACGTCCCAGGGCCGCTACGAGCTGCGTGTGGATATGCGAGACGGACAGGAGGCGGCCTTCGCCTACTACGACAAGTTCTCCGTGGAGGACGGCAGGAGCCTGTACAAACTCCGCATCGGAAGCTACAATGGCACTGCAGGTACCTGTGGCCCCAGGGGCGCTGGGCATGCAGCAGGAAGGCCCCAGTGACCTAGACCTGAGCCGCATGGGGGAGGAGCACCACCCACAGAGCTCTCTGTAGCCAGGGAGGACGGCTGGACCGCGAGAGTCGCTGGCTCTGGTCTCAGCCCTGGCCCCTCTGGTGACCTGAAACCAATTTATCAGGACTTTGGTTTCCTCATCTGGAAAATCATAAGATGTCCGTCCTACTTCACAGTGTAGACAGGGAAAAAAAAATCAGTAAATGTCATGAAAGTGCCTTTAAAAAGTTTTTAGTTAAGAAGTGCAGTGTGAGAGGGAAGGCTTGCTTTCCTTAGCTAGGTTAGCCTGTGTGGACTCTTACCCAGAGACAGCGGAAGCAGCTCTCACCTGGGTAGGATCTCCCCTGCAGTGACCTAAGACAACCTTTGAGTAATGAAAATAATACAGATCTCCTCACTCCCTGAGATGCCCTCTCATCCCATCAAGGAGCGAAGGACGGTCCCTAAGTGTTCCTCGTTGGCCATGAACATTGCTTTCCTTCCTCCAAGAGAGCCACATGCACCATCAGGTTTTCCAGGTAGATTTTTATGGCATTTCTACCAAGCAGACAAACCCGCTCCGGGAGCTCTGTGGCATTAATAGTTCGATCAAGACACAGCATCAGTCTGCTTCTCAGGCTCTGCAAGTCTGTTCCTTATTTCCTGTTATAACATATTTCATAAAGCCTGTCGTGCCAGATATTCTACTGTCTGGGACAGGGAGTTACTGGCTCTCATTAACTCCAATTTCAGGGCTAAGCGTTGGTGTTTAATTTTAGCAACATTTTTTATGCCTCTTAGAATTAAGAAGAGCACCAAGGCATTCCAATTACTGCATCGGCTCAATTACTTCTGTCTTCAGCCAGGTATTATAACTCCAAAGAGAAGACGCACTTTCTTATTGTTGCTGTTCCTATCTGAGATCATTCGCAATGGCTGTCAGACAAGCCCAGCCAAAGGTCTAATTTGCCACACTTTGAGCATAAAATAGCCATTGAGATGGACATATCAAACAAAATGTCAGACTAAATCATTTCAAAAATAACCAGATGCTGTTCACGCCCTAGGATTAGAGCTGCGCCTGTAGGAAAGCCATTCTAATCCCCCGGAGGAAGAACGGCAAGCCCTTCCACTTCTGTGCCTGTGCCCCCTTCCTCGCTCCTCTTCTGCAAGCCTGGGCTTCACCTGCCTAGCTGGGCCCAGCCCCTGCTGCCTCTGGCCAGCCCTGTCTCCCTGCTGGGCCCCCCGTAGGATAGAACCGGTGGATTCCCTCCGACTCTCTGTGTCAGAGGCAAATCCTGCCATAGCTCTGCTGGTTGTTGTAAATTGAATATGACTCATTCTTTGCCTTGCAAAGAGGAAATCCTGGCTCCCTGCAACTGCTCCATCTAGGCAGCTCCACAGGCAGGTTCCTCCTGGACCAAGCAGCTTTCCGGGAGGAGAGGCCCCGCCCCTTCTTTCTGGCATTTTCTAACATTGCTCATCCCCTTGATGTTGCTGGATTCTACTGGTCCTACTGGCAACAAGCTGTGCTGAGGCTCCAAGTTCAGCCCTTTTCTCAAGGTACTAACTTGCCAGTGTCTAGGTGGGGCTCCACTTGGGTAAGAACGGAGGATTCCAGATTCCGAGTGAATCCATAAGAGGGTGTTGCACAACTCCTAAACGTTGCAGATACTCAAAGGAAGCATAGGACATGGCCTCCACAAGAACTAAACAGCCAACTAAAAAAAGAAACAACTAGGAAGTTACTCACCACACCATGAAGGGCGCCCCCTTCCTATTTAAGGGGGGCTCAGAGAGGCAGTTGAGGAAGGCTTCTGATGGCTGCGGCATTTTGAAAGAGTTATCCATGGTCAGGAAAGCGCCTCTGGATGAGAAGCCATGGAAGGAGAAGCTAACGTGGAGGGGGAGGCTGCGGTGGGCCACGGGGCAGAGCGAAGTTCATAAGGAATAGAAAGAAATTGGTGAAGGAGGGGAGCCTGAGCCTCCACCGCCCCTACACTGAAGGAGCAGATTGAGTCTTAGCCTGTGGCCAGCGGGGAGCCCCTGTAAGTCCTGAAGATGTGACCGCAGTGTGGTTCTAGGAAGGTCACTGGATGAGCCCTACACAGGATAACGGAAATTTGAGCAAAAAACAGAGAGTCACTAGTGGCTGCTGCACAAAACCTAATTCATAGGAGGTGATGGGAGGCCTGGCTCATGTTGGGGCTGAGAGAAAGGTGTCAGTCTAACAGTGGGTCAGGAGAGAGGCGCCAAGACTTAGCTCATGTCCCGATACGTGAGATGATGCGTGAGGCAGAAACGGGGAGAGGAGGCAGATTTGTGGAGAATGTAAAGACCAACATCAGGAGCACGTCTAAGAGAGTGGCAGGCAGCATCAGAGCAGACACTGGAGAGAATGGTCCAGGGGAGTAACGGGGTGACTTCTAGGCTGCAAAGGGATAATCAGGCTAAGATGGTGACAAGGGTGGAGATACACAGCCAAGTCAGCACTAAAGAAAGGGTCACAGGACAGGAGGATTGGCCCAAGCATGTTTAAGACAAAGGATATGGTGTGACTTAGGAAAAGAGGACATGAGAAATGCTAAAAAACAAACAAACAAACAAAAAACAGAAGGAAAAAAGGAAGAAGACTTTTCTGCCTTTTCCAGGATTGGGAAGAGATGACAAAGAATAAAGTTATAGGTGGTGGGATTAGCTGCAGATGAGGCAAAATCTGAATCCTGGGTTAGAAGTGTAGCCCAGTAGTGAAGTACTTGCCCAGCATGCACAAAGTCCTGGCTTCAATCCCCAGCATTGCAAAAAACAAGCAAACAAACAAATAAAATAAATAAACAAATAAAAACCCTTGGAGATGCTGAAGTGGACAGAATAGAGAAAATGACATGTGGCTTTAGGGACTCCCCCAGCCCCTGAGGTCAGCTTCCCTGTAAAATGAAGATCCACTGGCCAAGAACCCGGCTGTGGTGGGATGCTCTGGGGGCAGTGAGCAGACACTGTGGGCACAACTCAGAAGCCACAGGATCAGAACCCAGCCTCACAGCAAAAATCAGCTCCGGATGCAGCTAAGGTCATTTTCACTCCATCAACAGCATGAGTCCCCCTCTCAACAGCCCAGCCACAAATCCTCCTCCAAATCCTCCCAACCATTACACACAAATGACAATCTGACCCCCTCCCTCAAACCTTCAGTTCACATAAGCCCCCTGCACAATGTCCCCAACAAGAGCTCACCCAGCCCCCATGCACCTGAGAACAGAAATCTCACCACAGCTCTAAGATCTTGTGAACAGCTCAGATATTTAGAGAATTTCTCCCCTATGGTCAACCAAACATGCCTCTTTAGTCCATATACTTCCTCACAAAACTATTGAATGTTTCTTTTTCTCAATAATCCGTCAGATATTTGACAAAGGTGATCATGGACCCTGATGAGTCTGACATTTCCAAGATACAGCCCCTGGCCCCACCCTCCTGTCCTTTGACACAGTCCTGGTTTTTCCATCCCCCTGTTTCCTGTAGATGCAACTCTGGTTTGCTAACGTCCAAGTTCTTGCAGCACCAAGTTCTGAACATGGGTTTGGGGCGTGGTCTGATGAGGGCTGGTGTCTGGCAAAAGCCAGGCTAAACCTACACAAGGAAGACCCAGAAAGGTCCAGTCAGCACGGCTCATCACTGTAGTGTCCCGGTGCCTGGAGGCAGCAGACGGGGTGTGGTGAGGGGTTGTGTGGATGGAGTTCTCAGCAAAAGGCCAGGGGACAAGGAAATGGGCTGGCGAGGGCAGCACGGCAGTCGCCACCCTGAGGTCAAGTGACGGGGAGAGCTTAGCCAAGCCAGGGGAGGGACAGAGCGGAAGGTACATGAGGGTTCCACAGGTGGGGGCCAGCTCTCCTGGGAGCGGGTCAGATGTCCTATCCACTGTCGAGAGAGACAAATGGGACAGCCTCGTGGTGTTCTTCCTTGCAGGGGACTCCCTCAGCTATCACCAGGGACGCCCGTTCTCCACAGAGGACCGAGACAATGACGTGGCTGTTACCAACTGCGCCATGTCGTACAAGGGAGCTTGGTGGTATAAGAACTGCCACCGGACCAACCTCAACGGGAAGTACGGGGAGTCCAGGCACAGTCAGGTGGGTACTGCTCCGCTGTGGTTAGAGGTGGCCCAGAGCCTGGAACCCACGGCCCTCAGCTCTGTCTTAAATGCCCACGTGAGTCCAGCACTTCCTGATGAAAAAGAGACACGGAAGAGTCTTGAGAAAGAACTGCCATAAAGAGAACAGTAACGCTGAGTGGGGTAGAGACAGGCAGGGCAGGAGCCGGGGGGAGGAGGGGAACCCACACCCAGGAGTGGCACCCCCAGAGGCCTGAGCAGCAGACGGCTCCCACTCCATTTCCTTGTGGAGGGAGCTTGCCAGTTCTGGGGACGACTTCACGGGCTCAACTGCATCCTAAGAGGAGGCCCAGGAAGGGAGAGATCAGAAATACCAGAGTAAGCTGGTATTTCCGCCAAAGACTGCTTATGCCCTGATGGAGCTGGGTGGGGTGGGGACAGCTGAGCCAACTAGGACTTCCCAGGTGGACACCGAGAGGCCACACGGAAGGAAACCCCTTGGTTCCTGGCAAACCCAGATGGTTAGCCATCCCAGGTGGAAACCCCCAGCCTCCCTTCAGGAGCAAGCAGTCTGCTACTCTCTTCAAAATGCCTGCACACGCTCAGGATTTTAAAATTCACCACCATCGACTCATGCATGCAACTCCTGAAAGCCAAAATGTCAAGCCGGCGATAAGGAATCACCTGCAACATGTTCCCAGGGAAGGCCAGGCCACCGGCAGGTAGAAAGGGAAAGTGGATAGAGAGTCCGCTCTGGCTTTATTGGCAACTCAGCCACAAAGCTACAGCTAGATCCACAACTTGGGCCCCCTGTACCCCTTTCTTTTCATCAAGGGAAGGGTGACCTGACATGCTTCTCTTTCACATGCCCAGGGGATCAACTGGTACCACTGGAAAGGCCACGAGTTCTCCATCCCCTTCGTGGAAATGAAGATGCGGCCCTACAACCACCGTCTCACCGCGGGGAGGAAGCGGCGGGCCCTGCGGTTCTAAACAGTGGGCAGTTGATCTTCCTGTCATTTGTTTGTATTTTGTAATATGCCACAAGGGGGGAGGGTCATAATGATGTGCTTTGCGACATATTCAGAGTACTCGGAGGAGGCCGGGCGTAGCAGGAATCAGTGACTGCCACCGCTCCTAGTTTCTGCTGCCTGGGAGCCTGACCCCAGCTCCGTCTGCACTGGCCCTCCTCACCAGTCATCCCCGACCTTCCCCTCCTCTCCCAACAAGGAGGAAACGTGGGAAGTTTGCTTGAAAGACACTTTGAAGGCCCCTCGTGGAGTGCGGGTTGCTGCAGTGACGCGGGCCTTCTTGTTCGACCCTGCTCCTGAGATGCCTCTACCTTCCAGGTAGCCTTGGTCTGGCCATGGCCTTCCACCAGCCCAGAGAAGCAGCCTCAGCCAGGGAGCTTGGCCAACAACTCCCCTTCAGAGGGCAGAACCCCGCCACACCCTGACCGGAGGGCCGGAGTCCTTCAGAATGGGCCGAAGACCGTCCTCTCTGCCACTCTTACTTTTTAAGCACTGCGGCCTCTTCCCAGTTGCTTAGCCCTTTCCCTACCTGCAGTCCCCTTAGACCCCAAGGTCCCACCCACCCCACCGCTAATCTGGAATCAGTTCCCAAGGCGTTGCCCACTCCTGGCCCTGGGTGGTGTGGTGGCTGTGTCCCCAGGAGTCTCAAGCCACTGTCCCCACCTCAGGGCAGCCAGTCTATAGTTGCTTGGTGGCAGGAAGGAGAGATGGCTGTGTTTCCAGCAGTCTGGGTCGGGCATCTGGAGACAACAGGTTCAACGGGAAACACGGCCTATGCCCAGCTCGTTTTCTCCATTTCCAGTCTGAGTTGTCATGGACATTTTTAAAAACTTGCCAACAGAAGGCCTTACTTCTGTCTTCTGCCAAGCTCTCCTTGGTACAGGTGACTCAATAAGAGTCAGGAAAAGAAGTTGTAAGACCCGTCAGCCGTTCATCCCCTGGCGGGGAGTCCTGGGAGGAGGCAGAATGTTTGTTTTAGGAGGTTTTATTTTACTTAACTTTATTTTATTTTATGTTCTTCCTGTGGGAAACAGAAATGACCCCTGGATGAGTTGAGATCATGGGAAGTCTTTCTCCATCTTCCTTGTTATAAATGAGCAGTACCAGGGGAGACAGCATTGAGAAATCTCAAGGTGGGAAGGGCGGATGGGCCTGTTTCTGGGATGAGAGGTGCTGCCTCCACCAGTGGCCGGAGTTTTAACCCGAGAGAGCTGGAGGCGCTAGAAGCTGTGGCCTCTCTACTTCCCCTCGACATCAAATGCCAGCCGCCACCTTCCCTGGACAAGTCTGTGTCCCATCCAGGGCTGCCTTCTACCTTTCCTCTCCCATTCCTGAGGTCCCATTCTGTCCTGGGCAGGGCCACTTTGTCAAACACAGGTATTGTGTACCTTTGCCAACCAGTTACTGGACGAGCCTGAGATCTAGCAACTTTCTGATAGAAATATCCACACTCTGACCATGTTCTGATGACCCTGAAGGGACAGTCCCTTCTGGTGTCAGGAGGATGAAGTCAGCCTGACATTTACTGTAGCCTCTCCCTTTTGTGCGCTCCCACAAGGCTTCGTCCACTACCGGGCTGTAGACAGGGTTGACATACCTGGGGCCAAAAATTGTAGGTGGTGTTTTCATTTCTCAGTTCACCATGGGCTTCACAAAACTAAGAGAAGGAACAAGATAAATGTGTCAATTTAATAAGATTCAGCCTGAGCAGGGCAACCACAGAGAGAGGGAGGCATACTGGATACAGAACTCAAGAGCTAAGGGACAGGTCTTCCTTTGCCGTGTCGCTAGCTGCACGACTTTGGGTAGGATGTTTCACGTCTCTGGGCCTCAGTTTCCTTGACTGTTGAATGAGAGACTAGAAAAAATTCAACTTCTCTTTCAGTTTGCACAGTCAATAGTGCTAGTGGAGGGCCTGAAAATCCATGAGATTGGTGAACACAGTGAGGTCATAGAAATCTGCCAGAAGCCCTGTGGAGGGAGGGCAGGGCAGAAAGAAGGAAGACAAGTAAGGAGGAAGGGAAGGAGGGAGGGATTCAGAAGTCAGAAGTCGCGCGCGCACACACACACACACACACACACACATGCTGCAGAGAAGACCGCGCCAAGGAAAAGGCTGGACTGTGTCTGAGAGCCGAGCTGGGAACTGGGTGTGCTGGTGCAGCCCACCTCATCAAGGGAGCTGGACTGGAACAAGAGTGTGTGCCGTTAGTCCAGGGGAAGCCAAGAGACGTCTGTGGAAACCAAGACCTGCCTTTCGTTGGAAACATTTTACACTATGGAACATTTTTATAAATAGCACTGGCAATATTACCTAGATTCATTTTAAAGAATGTTAAAGCAAGAAAGGGACTTCAAAGATCAGCTCACCCAACCCTCTATAAAAGGGTTTATAAATTCCTTTTGTTCAGGAGAGTGATCTCCTCATGAGTTTTTAACCATTTTTTAGGGGACTGTGTTCCACTGTCTTCCTGAGACCTGTGGTCAGCTTGACTCAGACCTTCTTAACTCGACTCACTTCCCTTCTTTCTAAGCTTCTTACGAAGAAGCGGCTTCGGAGCTGCTTAAGATTCATTCCTCAGCATCCTGTTCCTCTAAGCACCTGTGATTCTCCCAGAGAGGGACACAGGAAGCCCCACAGCAGCCTGCAGCTTCCCACAGGAATCAGAAGGAATGGAATCAGACCCTGCCGGGAGAGCAGCCTAACCAGAGACACAACGCGGACTCCTTCACCACCCCACAGAAACCAAGAGCAGTTCCAGTGGCTGCGGGAGACTCCCTGCCCAGAGCTGGAGTATGAAGATCGTTTCCACATGTTGAACTGACATTGTCCAGGGTTGCTTCTGGAAGGTGAAGAGGTTATCTTCACCTTGATCAGGGAGAGAAACCTGTGGAAGGGAGGGGGCTCGCTGAGAGTGGCCACAAGGTGGTGCTTGGGACACCCAGCCACCTCCTGAAACCCCAGAGAAGCTCTCTGGGGCTGAGGACCCCAGGGTCCCCCTGGTTTCCAGAACTCAGAGCCACCAGGCACCCAGGGCTGATTTGTAGTGAAGGCTGATTTGTAAAAGCACAACAACAAAATGGGAGCAGAGAAATGGAGAACACACTTCTACAAACAATCCCACCCTGCCCCTCACCGACTCCAACCCTCAAGTGAGGGGACACCTGCTTCCTTCCACCAGCCAGCTCTCTGCAGGCTGGAAACTGCTGTTTCAGAGACAGACACGAAGACTCGAGGTTGCCGATGAGCTCAATTCTCACCCCAACAACCTAAACACATTTTTATTCTTCAAATCTAGTTCCAGAACAGAGTTACAGATTACGGGACAGAAGGTCATTATAGGATCTTTTCAAAAGCTGTTTTTAAAGCATCAGTTGAGAAAGCATTTATGAGCTCCTCTTGGTCCTTTTCTCGAGAAAAAGAAAACTGGAACCTGTGAGAACACCGGATGCACCAAGCTGAGGGGCTTGAAAAAGACTGGCAGGTGACCTGGATATGGGGCATGGACAGTTCTTTCTTTTTCTTTCTTTCTTTTTTTTTTTCTTCCTTCCACCCAGAATTTCAGGAAAGCTGGAGCCATATGATTTTGTACTTTCTTTCTTGTCACCAGACTCCTGTTCAATCGAACTCCTTTGTTCCATTTCTTTCCCTTCAAAGCAGGGGAAGGGGCTCACCTTCCATCTCTATTTGCATCTCTTAAAACTTTGAAAAAGACACTGAAAGACTCAAACTAATTCAATTTCACTAACCGGAGGTGGCTAGTTTGTTTTCGCTTGCCTTACAGTGATCAAGATTACAAGAGGGGTCTTGGGGACTTCGGAGGCCGGGGATGGATCTATGAAGCTGGACCTGCATCTTCACCTAAGATCCCAGAGTGGTCCACTTCCTTCCAGTCTAGGGGACCGGCAGGAACTAGCCTTTGGGGGAAGGCAAAATGAGGGGCTGGAGTGGCTTGTCGCCTCTCTCTGGCTGCATTGCAGGGTCCTTTGAGAGCATTTCTGTAGATCTTTGGCTGATTGCTTCCTCAAACCTTTGCTTCTCCCGAAACTCAGCTTCTCATATCTGTAATAAGGTTTCCCTCAGATAATACTTGGGACTTTTGATACAACCGGGCCAAATGAGAACTCACAGTCCAAATGAAAACTTCCAAAATCACGTGGGGAAAACAAGTCTAGGATCCTTTAAGAGTGAATGTTGGTGTGGATTCAGGTTGAATTGGAAAAACCCAGCTCATTCGCACCGTATCTCCACTGGATTTATTTAAGCCAGTTCTGTACTTTTCGAGCTCTGAGGAACAGCTAGGAAGAAGGAAAAATTAAAAATCTAATAAAAGAAGCAGATAGATCATTGGAGATTAAAATTAAGACTTCTCCAGATGGCCTCACATTAAAAATGCAGAGACCAGGCATGAGTGGCCATGACAAAGGTGCCAGCGCTGCCTTCCCCAGTTCTGGCCTCCCGTCTCCAACCAGATCTCAGTCACCCACCTCACCTGAGGAAAAACCAAGGCACCTGAGGCCTTGCTGCCCAGAGCACGGGAAGCAGAAAGGCCTTCTCTGCTTGCTTGGCCCATCCTGCCTGGACCTCACTTTTCCTTCCCCAGCAGTCACCGCCTGGACTTCATCTCCAGCATTTCTGATTTATTTTTCAAGGTCACTCCCTGCCTGAAACATGACTTCATCACTCCTGCAGCACTTCATTGTCCAAATGTCCTTGGCAAACCTCACAGTCTTTGGACAGTGTTGCATTTTCTCCAAACAGGAAATCCTCCCTCCTTCTCCAGGCTTAATAAGGCTATTGCAGAGAACCCAAATAGCACAGCTCTTGTTTCTCAGGCAAACTTGGCCCCTCTATTAACTTAATAAAACAGCTCCCTATTGTCTGGGCGGTGAGCCTGGCTAACGCTGAATTTCCAGTTCAGAAATGTTTAACCCTTGCATCCTCATCGAGCCAGCCCTCCCAGGCACTAGCACGGGCTCTCTGGCACCACGGTCTTACGGGGGGAAGTGCAAGGTCCTTCACACGCCCAGGAGGCCTGGAGCACCTAAGCCCCAGAGATGGGTGTGGATTCAGATGTGTGGCCAGGAGAACACTATATGGCTTTCCGGTCACTGTTCTAGCATCTCCAGGGAAACCAGGCCTGCTTTTTGCCATCTTGCACTCCAACACTCACGCACTCCACCCTGCCTTCTAGACCAACATTGGAGACGCACATTCAGAGCCAGAGGGGTCTCTGGAGATCCCCTAACCAAATCCTCTCTTTTTACACTCAAGTAAACTGAGGCCAAGGCAGGTTAGACAACTGGCCCACGTGTCTTGGCCAAAATTAGTAACCGGGCTGAGGTCAAGCAATGCAGAAGTTTTATTAATTCATCTCTCCTCAAATGAAGATTGAGAAAATGGTCTTTATCACACACCTACGGTTTCCCAGACACTGTGTGAAGACCTTTGCATACGT